TATATTTTCATACTCTAATTTTCAACACGATCTATTGTTTTATTTTAAACTCAGTTCTGTACAATTAGACCCTATAGTTAACAATATAGTTATGTAAAATTACATTTTTTCTCAGTCGCTGGAATTCTCAAAAGTACTTAACTCCACAACATCTAGGCACTTGTGCACATCACAAAAGCAATTTCTCATTATTCTGAACAAATTGCAAATTTGGTACAGTCATGCAATTGATTATGTAGCCTACAATTGTCTGCTGTTTCCTACATTATCAATTGCTTATCATGTTTATCAAAATGTATTATGCAAGAGATAGCAAACTGACATTGAATCAACGTGGAAATATGACATCGAAACAACGTTGATCTGACATTGTTTTGCTCATCGAATTAACGTTGAACCAACGTCAGACGCGTCATTCTTTCAAAACTAACGGAAAATCAACTTGAAATCAACGCGTTGTTTCAACGTTATGAAAGCAAAACAATTTTCGATTTTCATTTAGCTTTGAAGAATGCCCTCACGACCAATGGGCTATATGCACACATAAGTTCCGCATTTGACGTAAGGATGCTCGTCCATTTCCGGTTGTGTAGATTCCCAGACAGCAAACTGACATTGAATCAACGTGGAAACGACGTCTCTCATGACATTGAAACAACGTTGATTTGCTCATCGAATTAACGTTGAACCAACGTCAGACGCGGCATTCTTCAAAGCTAAATGAAATCGAAAATTGGTTTGCTTTCATAACGTTGAAACAACGCGTTGATTTCAAGTTGATTTTCCGTTAGTTTTGAAAGAATGACGCGTCTGACGTTGGTTCAACGTTAATTCGATGAGCAAAACAATGTCAGATCAACGTTGTTTCGATGTCATATTTCCACGTTGATTCAATGTCAGTTTGCTATCTGGGTTAAAGCGGAGGAAAACCGGAGAAAACGGGATTATGGCAGAGTCTTCAATATTTACTGTCCTCCCGTCTTTGAAACGAAACGTACATACGTTTAGATGTAATTTTATATATAGTTATGTTTATTTAATATAATTTAAAAAAAAGCATAAACACAACGAGGGGAGTCTGTTTTATCTGTTTTTGTGACTAACGTTTCATTAGTATAACCATGGAGTATAAAATTCAATATAAATTCTCGGTATTGCATTGGACTCTATGATCGGCGGAAGTTATCGAGCATCCTTAATCCTTCACCGGAAATAACGCCGTGCATAGAGCCCATTCGTACGAATTCGTACGAGTGATTCAAAAGTGGCTAATTCGTACTAATTCATACGACCTCACTCGTACAAATTTGTACGATTTGTCTAAACCCACGTGACGGTTATGTTTAGGGGCGGGGTCAGGGGTATGTCATTTGTACGAATTCATACGAATTGGCTAATTCGTAAAATATGTACGATTTAGCTAAATCGTACTAATTCGTACGCGTGAGGTCGTACAAATTGTTACGAATTAGCCACCTCGTAAAATTCGTAGCCTACGAATTCCCGTGAGATCGGGTTGGAATGCCGCGCCCGCGTCTGACGTTGGTTCAACGTTAATTCGATGAGCAAAATCAACGTTGTTTCAATGTCATGAGAGACGTCGTTTCCACGTTGATTCAATGTCAGTTTGCTGTCTGGGAAACTAATGTGCAGATGTTTTGTGTGGTAAAACAGAGTTCCAGCATAAGTCATCAAACGCTAAATGGTTCGATCAAGTGTGTTTTCTATTCTATTAGAATCCTGAATCGTGTCCTGAAACAATGAATTGGAGATAACTATATATCCTCTAATGAAGGGAAATGTCAGTTTTTTTTTAAAGAGCTCAGATGTCATCTCATGAAGAGGAAGATTGTAGAGATGTTTCTGATGAACAAAGGGGCACTCTTTCAATCTTTGGGCTCAGAAAAATTAACTGAATTTAAAGGGAACTGACTGGGAGATATGTTTTTGTTTTAAAGATAAACTAACTTCATTTTTCAAGACTTCATTTTGCATTTGTATCTCAAGTGAATGATCGTTTTCAGATCAGATGAAGGACCTGTGCCTAGACATGACCACAACAGAAACGGTCCTACCTGTGCCTAGACACGATCAGCAGAAACGGTCAACTACTCTCCCCTCCCTCTGAAGGCTTCATCGACACGACAGCCATCCTCAACAAACTCGTCTCCATACCGGCGTGACTCTGATCTTCAACCAGATGGAACTGGATAAATATTGACATTGTGAATGTTTTGATCCAATCTGACCTGTAATGCTGCCTGAATCATAATCATACACTGTTTGCTCGATGGCCCCCGACTGAGCCTGGTTCTCCCAAGGTTTTTTTTCTCCATTCTGTAACCTGATGGAGTTTTTTTTTTTAACCACTGTTGCCTTTGACTTTTGGCTTGCTTAGTTGGGAACACTTAATATTCAACAATATTGTTGATCTGCCTGCATTGACACCACTATATGACTGATATGACCTGGACGATGATGACAATTTTCTCCAGAGCGGGCTATACATATACATATACACATATATATATATATATATATATATATATATATATATATATATATATATATACACACATATACATATATATATACACATATACATATACATATACACATATACATATACATATATATATATATATATATATATATAAATAAATATATATATAAATGAACTACAAACCGAATTCCATAAAAGTTGGGACACTGTACAAATTGTGAATAAAAACAGAATGCAATGATGTGGAAGTTTCAAATTTCAATATTATATTTAGAATACAACATAGATGACATATCAAATGTTTAAACTGAGAAAATGCATAATTTTAAGGGAAACATAAGTTGATTTTAAATTTCATGGCATCAACACATCTCAAAAAAGTTGGGACAAGGCCATTTTTACCACTGTGTGGCATCCCCTCTTCTTTTAATAACAGTCTGCAAACGTCTGGGGACTGAGGAGACAAGTTGCTCAAGTTTAGGAATAGGAATGTTGTCCCATTCTTGTCTAATAAAGGCTTCTAGCTGCTCAACTGTCTTAGGTCTTCTTTGTTGCATCTTCCTCTTTATGATGCGCCAAATGTTTTCTATGGGTGAAAGATCTGGACTGCAGGCTGGCCATTTCAGTACCCGGATCCTTCTTCTACGCAGCCATGATGTTGTAATTGATGCAGTATGTGGTTTGGCATTGTCTTGTTGGAAAATACAAGGTCTTCCCTGAAAGAGACGATGTCTGGATGGGAGCATATGTTGTTCTAGAACTTGGATATACCTTTCAGCATTGATGATGCCTTTCCAGATGTGTAAGCTGCCCATGCCACACGCACTCATGCAACCCCATACCATCAGAGATGCAGGCTTCTGAACTGAGCGCTGATAACAACTTGGGTTGTCCTTGTCCTCTTTAGTCCGGATGACATGGCGTCCCAGTTTTCCAAAAAGAACTTCAAATTTTGATTAGTCTGACCACAGAACAGTTTTCCACTTTGCTAGAGTCCACTTTAAATGAGCCTTGGCCCAGAAAAAACGCCTGCGCTTCTGGTTCCCGTTTAGATATGGCTTCTTTTTTTACCTATAGAGCTTTAGCCGGCAACTGTGAATGGCACGGTGGATTGTGTTCACTGACAATGTTTTCTGGAAGTATTCTTGAGCCCATGTTGTGATTTCCATTACAGTAGCATTCCTGTGTGTGATGCAGTGCCGTCTAAGGGCCCGAAGATCACGGGCATTCAGTATGGTTTTCCGGCCTTGACCCTTACGCACAGAGATTGTTCCAGATTCTCTGAATCTTTGGATGATATTATGCACTGTAGATGATGATAACTTCAAACTCTTTGCAATTTTTCTCTCAGAAACTCCTTTCTGATACTGCTCCACTATTTTTTGCCTCAGCATTGGGGGAATTGGTGATCCTCTGCCCATCTTGACTTCTGAGAGACACTGCCACTTTGAGAGGCTCTTTTTATACCCAATCATGTTGCCAATTGACCTAATAAGTTGCAAATTGGTCCTCCAGCTGTTCCTTATATGTACATTTAACTTTTCTGGCCTCTTATTGCTACCTGTCCCAACTTTTTTGGAATTTGTAGCTCTCATGAAATCCAAAAGGAGCCAATATTTGGCATGGCAATTCAAAATGTCTCACTTTCAACATTTGATTTGTCATTTATATTCTATTGTGAATAAAATATAAGTTTATGAGATTTCTAAATGATTCCATTCTTTTTTTACTCACAATTTGTACAGTGTCCCAACTTTTTGGGAATCGGGTTTGTAAATAATAATAATAATAAAAAAACATCACTGAGCTTACTTAAACTGGACTATGATACTATTTTCTTCTAGATCTGCTGTACAGCTGAAACAAACTCAGTTGAATTATTTTTCCTGTTATCACTGCAAAGCCACTTTGAAACAATTTGTACTGTAAAAATCTCTATATGAATAAAGGAGACTTGACTTTAATATATAAAGATGTTTAGCTATTTGTATTGGAAAACAGGAAGATATTCAGAGGATATTTATTTTTTGTAATGTATTCAACATTTAATTCATTGACAAAGAACTTTTTAATTTGTGTAAAGGACAAAATAAGACTAAGACATGCTGAAACCATGAGTGTCTGTAGACGTTTAAGACTTTTCAAGTCGTATTGGAATTGGTGACTTGTAACATGAAAACCATACTTGAGTAAAATGAGTCCATTACAAGTACTCTTTACACCTCAGAGTTTCTGAAATATCAAGACACATTCCTCTGCAGACAGAAGAGAGACACCAAATACCTCCGATCCTACAGATGAGCTCAAATCGACATTCACAAACACTTCCAAACAGATCTGATCAGTATAACATACAGTGTGGTTTGTTACACACCATAATGCAAATCTGACTGTTTCTGATTGCAATGAAGCAAACAAACAAACATTATTGTACAGTTGTTTAAATTAAACAAGCCAACTTTGTGTTTGATGATATTTAATCAAATGTAAAGTCATGAAACCATGATATTATTTTTTATTTTGAACTGAATTGAAGCTGTTTTTTCACAAATACCAGACTGAATTTGTTAAAATAACACAGTACCCAGTAAAAAAATAATAATAATAAACTACCTATTTTTTTTTTTCCAAAACTTAAATTAAGAATCAATACTATCACCACCACACTGCATTACTTCTCACATGTGCATAGTCGATCACAGAAGGCCAAATTTGAAGCACACATAAGATTTGAGAATGAAAGCTTTTGACAAACGTGCCACTCATTCACAGCTCGGAGCAACTCAGTGCTGATGATTTATTTTGTAAAGGTACATTTTCAATACCAGACATTCCAATTTACACCTGAAAAGGAGCAAAAGCGTCTTATATTCAGAACAAACCTAAAAATGGCTTGACATGAGAAAAAATGTACTGGAAAACAGATATTTACACTGCACAAGTAAAATGAAAATCACTTTTAAAAACAAGAATCTGTGAATTAGATCCCGGTGGGACATTAAGAAGCTGAAAGCAGTTGATTACAGCAGAAAGAGAAGGATCCACACAGTACAGATGTAAAACATGCTGATGTGCACACTGAAGCGGGACGGGAAGGGTAGACTTTAGGATGAGCACACACAGCTACTGTACTGACTACAGGAGACGCTCAGAACTTCTGCGAGAGCGTCTGTTTCTCCAGGAGAAGGTCTGCGAATCTCTGCTGCAGCTCTTTTTCTCTCTCCTGTTGCCTCTGAACATCCTCTCTCAGGGCCTGGATATGAACGACAGTGTTGATTAGTGATGATCATCTTATTTCTTATTCTATATGATTACTTGCATTTGATACTTTATTTCAACCGATTATCATTGCCTCGTTGTTGCTATATATGCATTTTAAATCATTTTAAAGGCTTCTGTTCACTTCGGTCTATTTTAATTAGAAAAAAAATCCGATTACTCAGTCAAAATAATCGACCGGTTACCAAAATAACCATTAGTGACAGCCCTAGATACCAGCACCTGCATTGTTTTGCATTTTGTCACTCAGTCATTTTCAATAACATATTTTTTCATTGAAGATTTCTTAAAAATAGTGTTCAAATATTGTCTCATGAACTCAAAATTGTGTATCGTCTTGTGAGCTAAGTGTTTCATCACACTCCTTATCAGAACATCTAATAGAGATAGTAAAGTGTTTCACCTCCTTCCTGCGTGGAATGGCGTGGTCTTCCTGTTTCTTCAGCTCCTGGAAGGTGTGGAGCTCCACGTTTGCCTGTTCCACTTGATCCCAGAGTTCACTGAGCTGTTTGAGCAGTCCCATGGCCCGAGACTGATACCCGCCCAGAAGAATCTTCATCTTCTTCTCCATTTTCGCCGCACGCTTGGCTTCTGTGGTCATGTGACCTCTGTTAATCTGTCAGACACAGGAAGTGAGTGGAACGTTACAAACAAGACTGCAATCAGAATGATTTAAAGATGACTTTGTTTTAATGAATCACTTTCAACTGTTCAAAAACTAATGCAGCAGGTCACAATTCAGTTTTTGCATTGAAGCCAGACTTGATTTGTCTAGATAAAAAGAAAGGTAAAATATATAAATAAATATATTAGAAAAATAAATAATAATAATGAAAAAAGGAAAACGTCAACTTAAAAAGAAAAGCTCATAAAAAAAGTATAATACACCGTATTTATAAATTTCAGAACTTTTAATTTGTGTAAAGGGCCAAATAAGACCAGCAAAAACCCTGCGAGTGTTAAAAATAAATAAATAGTATCCAAAAACAACACAAAAAAACCCACAATAAGCAACATTTAATCTCTGCTAAATTGAAACAGTTCTTGCTCTTGTCATGCTGCGATGGGAGGTCTAAGAAAAACCAGGATTCAATTCTTGCCTTCAGACACTGGCACCAAGAAATATTGAAACCATCGCAAATGTAAACCATTTTCAGACGTTCAATTTTGCAATAATGTGTGACATGCATAAAAGCAGTGAATTCTAAAAAGTTATGAGATGGAAACAAAAACAATAAACCTCCAACGTCAACACAGGCCTCAGAAACACACGCCATGTCTTTGGGCTTTAACAAACCATTATGCAATTATAATGGATCTGTTTTCATTCGAGCGCCTGACGTTTTCCAGGAAGAGTCCGGCTGCCAGCTGAAAGTCCTGACTGGGCATCTGTGGCTGGGTAAAACATCCAGACGCAATGCAGATCATCTTAAAGTGACTATAAGCTGATCAACTTCAAAATGTTGAAGAAAGAAATACTTCCTTTATTAATATTTCAGATTTAAGGTAGGTCATTTTCGGAGAGGCTAGCAATAGCGATCCCATCCTCCTTTCAAAGCGTCTCTAAAGCCACTACTTGTCCAAAACACATGAACGCGTGCAACCAGAGCAAACAAAAGCATTACGAGAGTGGGCATTAAACTCTTGTCTCAATGTACATAACATTACAATAATAAACAGCTTTAGTTGTATCACCTGACTGCTGCAGATTCACTTCAGACCGAATTCAATGATTGGACGAACATTTTATGGTCCTTTTAGGCCTTCCACAGACGATATATATATATATATATATACATACATACTGTATACACACACACATACATATATATATATACACACACACACACACACACACATATATATATATATATTATACATACACACACACATATATATATATATATATATATATATCACAACAATTAATTTTTTATTTTTTATTATGTGGCAGATTTTTTTAAATGTAAACTCAGAATATCTAATGTAAATATACCATTTTATTTCTTAGAATTATACATTTTTTAATACAATTACTATATACATTTTATATGTGTAAATTCATTTATTTCTTATGTTTTATAAGAGATTAATAACACATTAAATCTATCAGCTGAGGTGTGATTATTAACGTGCAGTGCAGATTCTGCCAGCATAAATCTGGAGATTCTGTGAATGAGAGCCGCGTGCCACGGCTTCCCTATTCCCGAAGGAACACCAGCTCCCCCACGACTCTGAACGTGCTGCAGTGTGAATCGCCTCCAAGTTTCCGCCACACGCTCCCAGCCAAGACATATGAGCACAAACGCAGTCTTTGTGGAAGGGGTGGGGAGCTAATGAACTGAGCACGTCCTGAAACTGCAGACATCTGGCTGTCTGTGGCTACCATTTCTGTTTGTGTTAAACCAAGCATTAATGCCCAGGGGAAGTTTAGAGCCATCCTCATTAAAACAGAATTAACGGATTTATCACAAATTCTTTTGACTGATTAATTAAAAGGTTTACACTCTTGATAGCATTTAAGAGCACTAAGAGGAGATCAGAATTAATGGTCTCTTGTGCTAAAAGCAATAAGACACTCAAGTGATTTTAACAAAACCCTGAACGTTACTGAACATACAAAAAAAAAAAATCCCAAAAATAAACAAAAATAAATATTTAAAAATACAATTAAAAGCTAAAAGCAATTATCCATGGGGTGGTGATGGTGCAGTGGCCAAGACACATGCCTTTGGTGTGAGAGACCCGGGTTCGACACACCAATATGTCCCTGAGCAAGACAGGTAACCCCTAGTTGGTCCAGAGGCATGCGACCTCTGACATATATAGCAATTTTAAGTTGCTTTGGATAAAAGCGTCAGCTAAATGAATAAATGTAAATGTAAAAGAAATAAAATACAAAAGAAAGGGATAAAGTAAAAGATGAAAAACAAAAAGTACAAAATGAATTACACAAATTACCCAACAAAAACAAAGAAACAAACAAAAATAAAATGTTAAAAGGAGCATTGCGTAAATTCTGACATTTCTAACCGTTAGACACCAGTGGCCGTTAGAGAAACTGCAGCCAGTCTCATGCTGGTTCTCTGCGCATGCGCTTGCACACTCATTGGCCACACTAGATAAGGCTTTTTTTTTTCCATGGGTGTCTGTATTGTCCATTTGAAACGCTACAGCTAGCGATTTCCACTGCTTAATACTGGCTGCCGTACGGATAAAAGCCCAAGAAGACGAAAACCGCAAAACGTCACAATTTGTGAATTTTCACGCCAATTCGGACCTGACTACTCCACACACAATTGAGCCTACAGGCTGATAGAGGCAACCATGGTGGACAGTCAAGGTGTCATTCTTTCTATTACATTATGGTTTGCTCAGAAATGTACAAATGAACACTATCTTAAAGATTGTTTTAAATAAAAACCTACACATAGTCTTTTTAAAATGAAAAATAAATGCTAATTAAAAAAAAAAAAAGATTAAATGAAATGCCCAACAATAATATATATATATATATTAGGGCTACAACTAATCGATAAAATCGATTATAATTAATTGTGAAAATTGTTGCCAACGAATGTCATTGATCAGTTGGTCTGCTTACGTCGTGGGGATTGTTTACTGGTGATTGGTTGAAACAGGCCAATCATGATGCTCTCTGTCTTACATGCACTTCATGAGACACACGCGCAAGGTCTCTCTCTCCCGCCGCTCTGCCCTGCACGTGCGCTACACAGAGGGTTTGGAGCACAGTCTCTTCTGCTCCTGATTCCGTGAGTTTCAACTAATTTGCGGGCATCAGGGAACTGCTATCAATATGCGGGTGACTTCCAGAACTTCCAGGAGACTTGGGATGTCTGTATTTTGTCTTGAGCATCAGGTTGCGCAATCAGTTGGCTCGCAACATACGTGATGGATTAAAATAGCGCCACCACAGAAATAGGTTAAATTAAAACAGTGTTTACAATGTGAAGCACTACATATAAAGGAAATATAAACCCTGATCTAGGGAATATAAACCCTGATCATTATCAAAATAATTGTTAGTTGCAGCGCTAATATTATTATTATTATATTATTAAACACACTGCATGCCCTTTAAGAGCAAAAAGAATGGATTGGAATAAACTGTCTCTAAAAGCATTTAGACACTAAAGAGATTTTTATCAAAACCCTGATTAATACTTTTAATCCTTAAACATGAGCTTCAATCAACCAAACGACGCCATCTACTGGTTGCAAAGGGAGAGGACAGAACACACGGATGAGTTTACCTCCAGCTTCTTCTCCATAGACTCGATTCGGTCCTTCTTGCTGGCCAGATTGGCTCGGGTGTAGCGGCTCTGTCCGGGCAGGTACAGGACCTGACTGTAACACTCCTCCCACACCTGATTATAAGCCTCCATAGAGAGATCACCATGACTCATCCCATGTTTCACCACCTCCATCTCCTGGCCCAGCAGCTCTCCTGCCTTAAAACGCACACATTCAGCATGAACTTTCTGACGCATTAGGTTTGAATACATAGAGTGATGTACTTTTATAACTGAAGATAACTGATGCCGGAACCAAATATAAGAGATTTTTTGCAAGGTGACATTATTTCTGACAATGAAGCATATTCAATTTTCAACACTGCAAAGTAAAGAAAATCATCCCGAGAACGTCCTGTTTTTTTTTTTTTTCACACAGCATACTAATTATGATACTTATTTTGTAAATACATTTGCAACAGCTAATTAAAAAGCATAGCTACTTTATTTCGGGGTGAATTTTCTTTACACTTTTGCGAGATTCACACTTCTAAATAATTTCCCAGGTCAAGTGAGTCTGTAACTGCAGAACGACAAAAGCTCCAGAGATTCACACAGAATTTTAATGTCATATTTAAAATTCTAGACTTCTCCAAAGCCCTGTGTGTTCTCAAGTATAATTTAATGAAATAATTTAATAAAGCACTCTCAGATAATCCTCCCAGATAAAAATAAAAGTTCCTGTCCCATATGGGTCCAATAACTAACCAAAGCAGCAAACCTTTTTGAGCTCTTCCTCCGAGATCTTATCATACGGTGTTTTCTCCAGGTAGGAGATGTGCTCTGCGTTGTTGGAGCTGGATCCCACTCCTTTACCCTTCCTGGCCTGGATGTCACTGAAGGGGTGATGCAGACAGTCGTAGTGGATCATGGTGATCATCTCCTTCTTGACGAGTTCTTCTGCCAGCTGCAGGTCCGTCAGAGGCGGCTCCACATTATGAGGCCGGAGTATCGTCTCATTCACCTGAACACACAGATACAGACTACATCACTTTTTTTTTAAGTACTATTTCTTTATCTATACAACTTAAAGGGTTAGTTCACCCAAAAATGAAAATTAAGTCATTAATTACTCACCCCCATGCTGTACCAACCCCGTAAGACCTTCGTTCATCTTCGGAACACAAATAAAGATATTTTTGATTGAATCTGAGAGCTGGATCACTCTTCAATTGGCTTCCTAAGGGACTGGCTCTTGACGGCCCATAAAGTCATTAAAGAAAAGGTTTAAATATTCCATGTGCCTACAGCGGCTCAATTATAAGTTTATCGAGTGACGAGAATACTTTTTGTGCGAAAAAAACATAAATAACGGCTTTATTCCACTATTCCATTACTTCCTTATGGGCGCATGCGCGAGAACTGAGACGAGGACGTTCTCATTCGTCTACTTCTTGTTACCGGCTGCTCACCGCTTAGGAGTTTTACCGCCACCTACCGTATAAAATGATGATCCATATATAAGGCGCTCCGGATTATAAGGAACACTGTCGTTTTTTGAGAAGATTAAAGGCTTTTAAGTGCACCTTATAGTGCGGAAAATACGCAAATTGAAAAGCGTATGTACAGCGCGCATCTTCCTCTGCTTGTAAACAGAAAGTTTTGCGCTTCCAGCTATATCAGCACATCATCTTATACGGTAGGGGGCGGTAAAACTCCTAAGCGGTGAGCAGCCGGTAACAAGAAGTAGACGAATGAGAACGTCCTCGTCTCAGTTCTCGCGCATGCGCCCATAAGGAAGTAATGGAATAGTGGAATAAAGCCGTTATTTATGTTTTTTTCGCACAAAAAGTATTCTCGTCACTCGATAAACTTATAATTGAGCCGCTGTAGGCACATGGAATATTTAAACCTTTTCTTTAATGACTTTATGGGCCGTCAAGAGCCAGTCCCTTAGGCAGTCTATGTAGGACTGATCCAGCTCTCAGATTCAATCAAAAATATCTTTATTTGTGTTCCGAAGATGAACGAAGGTCTTACGGGGGGTACAGCATGGGGTGAGTAATTAATGACTTAATTTTCATTTTTGGGTGAACAAACCCTTTAATGACGCAAAAATTATGGTGCACTTTTAAGAACTAGTGTTTAACACAAACCATCATCTAGTCAATTTTTTTTATTATGTTGCGTTCCATACTACCCTCTGAAATGTGTTGCAAATCTTTAAGAAAGTATGTTGATAAAAAGTGTATTCAATAAGCATTTAAAAAAAAAGCAAGGCTGATCAAAGTGCCGCACAACCATAGATACCTAATGGCGCTTTTCCATTGCTGCTACAGCTTGGTGTGCTCAGTACGGTTCGGCTCGCTTTCCTTTTTATTTTGTTTTAATTTAAATTTCCAAGTTTTTGTAATTAAGTTTAGTATTTTGTCATTTTTTCTTTTTTTATGTTTACAAATGTGTTTTATTTGAGTTATTTTATTACAATAACCCTGTTTGGAGAGATCAGCAAGTAAGGATGTCCTCACCTCTGAAGGTCTTGGTAAATCTCTCTGAACTGCCGTGTGTCTCTGACGCAGCTCCTTCTCCCTCTCAGCATCTCTTATGGCCTGTGGAAATGTCACGCATGGTAAATAACACCAAAAACAAATAAACACACACTAATACAGCACCCAATGGGTCTTGGGCGATCGCTTTATGAACATCAGTGTGTTTACAGATCACAGCGTTTAGTCAACGGACCTGTTTACGCAGTTCTATCTCGGCCGCATCCTCCACAAAACTCTCGTCACCTCAGCTTCCTCCAGCTCTTTTCTCAGCGTTTTCAGGAAGAACAATCTCAAAATCATTTTGGGCACAGGCAGAGACATCAAGCCCAACTTGAGCTGCTCGCGGGACTCCCTTTGCTGGAACAAACAGAACAAATCTAACCATGATGCAAAAAACACACTGCTGACCACTTTGTACTTAAATGAAAACTGCAAAAATCCACTGAAGGACAATGATTTGACGCACCAAGTGTTTGGCAAATGACGGGTCACTGTAGTCCACACTCCCCTCCTCTGTGTTTATGTTGAGTTTGTCCCGCAGCGGGGTCCTTCCCGGGGTCACGCCCACCGAGGGTTTAGGAGTCATTCCACCTTGAGGGGTCATGCCCTCCGCTCCATGGCTGGGGGTTCTGGGAAACCATATTCATAAAGGCATTATTCACACAAGCTCATTAACCTGAAATTTAGCATATACTTTAAAAATTATGATATAATTAATGCAGATAATAATTGGTTTAAAATACAATTATGACAAAGTTTGAAGTTTGTAAGAATTTGTTTTCAAAAGTATTCTATTCCACTCACCAAGGCTGCATTTATTTCAATAAAAACATCGTAAAAACTGTGATATTGTGAAATATTACTTTTTTTATTTGAATCTATTTTAAAATGTAATATATTCCTGTAATGTAAAGCAGAATTCCATATCCTTACTCAGGTCTTCAGTGTCACATCTTCTGCTCAAGAAACATTTCTGATTATTATCAAATGTCGAAGACGGTTGCTGTTTCATATTTTTTTTGAAAACTGACTGTTTCAGGATATTTGGAAAAGTTCAAAAGAACTTTTAAAATATACATCTTTTGTATATCAATGTCTTTACTGTTAATTGAATGCATCCTTGTTGCATAAAAATATTAATTTTATTCAAAATAAAATACAAAAACCCAAATCTTTTGAATGATACTGTATATTTATAGCTCCAGCACTAAAATCTATAATAATGTGTACAACCATAACTTACTGTGTAGAAA